GCGGAGAGCGCCCCGCCGCCGCCTATGAGGGCGCCGCGGGGCCGGGCGAGCCATGGACGGCGGCGGCGGCGGGGCGCCGCCCGCCCTGGAGAAGAACGCGGCGGAGCTGACGGTGATGGACGTCTACGATATCGCCTCGGCCGTGGGGCAGGAGTTTGAGCGGGTGATCGATCAGCACGGCTGCGAGGCCATCGCCCGCCTCATGCCCAAGGTGGTGCGGGTGCTGGAGATCCTGGAGGTGCTGGTGAGCCGCAACCACATCAACCCCGAGATGGAGGAGCTGCGCCTGGAGCTCGACCGCCTGCGCCTGGAGAGGATGGACCGCATCGAGAAGGAGAGGAAGCACCAGAAGGTGCGGGCAGGGGGAACCGGGGGGGACGCGGTGGGGCAGCGCTGCCGCGGCCGCCCCGGGGGGGAGAGCCGGGCACCGGCCCCGCCGCCGCCGCCCCCGTCCATCCCCCGCAGCCGCTGGGGAAAACAAAGCGGGAGGCCGGGGTGCGGGGCCGGCGGGTACGGCCGGGGCTCTGCCTGGATGCTGCCTTAGCGTCGCTGTGGGTTTGGGCGTGTTGTTGTGGTTGTTGGGTTGGTTTTTTTTTTCTTTTTTTCCTTCCCTCCTGGAAGTTTCCGTCCTCCTTCCCTTTCTCCACCCCTTCCCCAGTCACTGCGTTTCCTCTCCCTCCTGTCTCCCCGGTTAGTTCTCCTGCTCCATCCCCTCTCCTGAGGAAAGGGTAGTGCTGCTTCCTGCTGGGCCAGGAAAGGTCACTGGCAATAATACACTTCTCTCCAGAGCTGTGAATGGTTTAGCAGTCTAGTCTTCCTGGCGCGCTCATCGGGTAGGCAAGTCATAGGAGAGAGATGGAGGACTAAGTGATTTCAGGTCAGAGTGAGAGCTGAATAGTAGGGAAGAGCACTCTCCCAGATTCCTGCTCCATCCTCTGATGGGAAGATGTTGTCCCTTGGCTTGATCTGAGGTGGTCATAGTGTTCCCTGACACCACTCCCATGAAAGCCCAAGGCAGAGATCGTTTCCCATATCCTGTTACCCTCCTGTGGCAGGACAGCATGAACCGCTCCACTTACTGCACTGGAAAGGGCAGATTTAAACCATCCAGATAATGGATTTAAAGAAATGGTTCTGCTAGTCAGTGACCGTGCTAAATCATCACTGCTGGCTCATGCCATTCCTGCTCTCACACACAGATTCAGAATGAAGAGCAGACGGGGGATTTCAGGAAGAAAGACCTCAAACTTCAAGAGCTGATTTTAATTTAAATAAATTCAAGTTTTATGCTTTGGAAAGAGTCAGCTAAGGGACTTTTACTTAGCATATGAAAAATCCAGGATAATTCCTGCAACATCTTGCAGAGGAAGTCTCAGGACAGTGTTGAAAAGGATGGTAGAAGATCTTTAATGTATAAAGTCCTGTTAAATCTCCAGAATGTGAAATAAGAAGGTCTAGAGGACCTAGAGGACATGTCATCTCTGGGAAGAGCTCCGTTAAGTCAGAGCTCTCCCCATTGATCGCACAGAGACCGCTGTGCAGCCAGTCAGCAGTAATGCTTTATCTCAGATATTTACAGAATGCTGCCTGGTGAAGTGGAAACTGAACTGGGCCCAGTAGCGACACCCAGTATCACTGCACGAGTTGATGTTCTGCGTAGACGCTTCTGAAGTTCATATATGTGTTAAAAAGTTTCCTAAATGTGTCAACTGCATCACACTGTACTTGCCAGGTGTCAACTGATCCCCCGCCAGTTAACCATCTCCACTCTGCCAGCTCCTCATAGCCATGAAATGGCTCACGGACTGTTCAGACAATCCAGACAAAACTTTGGTGGAAATATATTTTTAACATGGAAAATAAAATACATGATGCATACATTTCTTTTTTTTAAATCAAGTTGATTCCCAGTGCACCGAGTCCCCGTAGAACAGTAGTGTCACATCCATCTGTGATCCAGCGTGAGAGTTTGAAGATTTAACTCCTTCACAGGACAGGTGCTGGCAAGCAGAAAGAGCCGGAGACTGAGAAATAGTTGTGACCCAAAAACCAACCCAGACAAGCTTTTAGTGGCCCTTGCAAGCATCAGTTTATGAGATTTTAGAGCTTAAAATCTTTAGATGTGAATCTGTTTTGCCTGTAGTCCTGGCTTAGCACCACCTCCACTTTCTTGAGCTGGCTGGCATCTACTGGCCCATCGATCTGCCTGCTCTGTCTGAAGCTTCTACTAATGAGGGTTCCGAAGTTAATTTCTGCTCCAATTCATTAGGCTCTTCAATAGCAATAAATAAGAAGGTTTGCCTAGGCAAGCCTTAATATGATTGTGTGTTTATAGAGTGGCCACATGTAAATTATAGAAGTTTAGATAGTTTGGGGTTTTATGTGTGTTCTATTTTGGTTTTAGCAGTATGCTTATAATTGATGAATGCGCTGTTTTATTATCTAAACTAGGTCAGCATGTTATTTTCGCTACAGAGTTGTAATATGCAGCATCACTGTAAATAGTCTAGGTATTTGGTAATATAAAGTTTCATTACAGGTTTGCTTTTCTCTTAAGATAAAGAGTTTCAAGTCAAATAGAGGTGATTCATGAAATTTTCTTTACTTCATAATTATTTAGTCTATAGCTTACAATGCCTGTTATGTTACTTATAATCTATTTGTCATGGAGTGTTTTCTGCAAAGCTTTTGGGAAGCGTTATAAAATGACAGCAATGCAGTAATAAATGCTGGAATAAAATGGCATTTGGGCCCCAAAGTCAATAGGAACATGATTTCCCATTATCAGAGCATACATTCAAAGCAGAAAGCTATCCTTTAATCTCTCGGCAGAGCTTATTTTAGCCTCGAGCTGTGCTTGGCGGGGTTGTTGTCTGAATGCGTTTTGTTGTTAGGTAGGAAAGGGGCCTGCTGGATGAATGTAAAAGTCAGCAAGTGACTCAGCCTGGCTCCAGAGATTTGCATCCAGCTTGTTTTTTTTTTTTTTGTTTGAAGCACATACATGAAAATGGAGCAGAGAATGCCCCCCACTACAGAAATATGATTCATGGCAAAGGCTTTTGGGACAAGCAAAGCTCTAAATACGACTGTTTTTCCTTAAGGACCTTATACTTTTTGTCCTAATTTGACCTTTACGGGGATTGGTGACAGCTGCTCTTGACACACAGTGTCCTGACAAATGGGCATTGTTTTGACTGGTCTCACTGCTGCTAACATAGATGCCACTCAGGGCATTCCATATAGAAGAATTTACATAAGAAGCAGCACAGTTCTGTCTTGTGTTTACCATGTGGACTAAGGAGCTCTGGGTTTGCTGCACAGTATCCTGTGCTTATTATTTTACATGTGTGTTTCATAACAGAAATTTAGACTAGAGATGCTACGCTTTCAAAATGAACATGCCCAACACCGATTCCACTGGCCCACACTGTGTGATGTTTCTGGGGTGTTTATAACAGCCTTTTTGGCTGCTTCTGGGGACACAGGAGGTGATTCTTGCTCATGTTTAGTTATCTTGCCTAATGCAACAGTGTCCCTACTCTGGTCCTCACAGCAAAACGGGGCATAAGGAGCCATCCTTTGGGTAACTTGTATGTGAAAAATGTTTGCATTAGGAATTATCTCCTTGTGTATTTACATTCCGCGTATAAGGAGCCATCCTTTGGGTAACTTGTATGTGACAAAAATGTTTGCATTAGGAATTATCTCTTCATGTATTTACATTCCGCCTAAGGAGACTTTGATACTTGGTTCCTTGATGCTGGCATTAGGAAAATACATGTCTTCTAAGAAATTCAAAGTAGCCTCATTTAATTGTTTTATGTAAGAATCATAGTAGGATTGTTAGTAGTTTGACCTGTAAATAGTCCAGTCAAAGACTCTTGACATGTTTAAAAATATAAATGTGTTGTCCCGGTCTACCCTTTAGGAATTAGAACTGGTGGAGGATGTCTGGAGAGGGGAAGCACAGGACCTTCTTACCCAAATTGCACAGCTGCAGGAGGAGAATAAACAACTGATGACAAACTTGTCTCACAAAGACATTAATTTCACAGAAGAGGAATTTCAGAAGCATGAAGGCAAGTTTGATACTTCAAATTCAGTACTTGCTTTTGTTACAAAAAGCAATACTTTATAAAAATATTTTGACTGGATATTCTGGCTTTTTTCCTATAAATTAATGCAGGTCTGGGTTTGGGAGGGTTTGGTGGTTTTATTTTTCCTAACTGAATAGAAAATCTCTGAATACCTGATGATACTGAAGACATGATAAGAGGTGGGTGTAGGAGTGAAAGAAAAGGCTGAATAAATCTCTGTTTGGCTGAGAAGCACCTCTGAAAGTAAAGTCTAGCTTCATTTTTTAGTCTATAACTGTTTTTTTTTTTTCTTTTTAGTTTGCACTTTGCAAAAAATATTCTTAAGCCTATCTTATGCTTTCTAATACAAATGGAATAATCCATTCAGCAATGTTTATTTCACACCGTTATGCACAAAAATAGGTGCAACTGTTGATCTAGTCAGGATAACTCTTTGTAAAGCAGCAAATCAAGATTTCTTTGTCTGAATTATATCAGTCCACCGTATGGAGATACTGATTGTACTTGATTTACGTGCCTTTAGGGTTCCTTCACTTGTTTGGGACTTATAGCCAATTTAGAATGAGTGAAGAGATTTATCATCATAGAATTGTTTGGGTTGGAAGAGACCTTTAAAGGTCATCTGATCCAACCCATCAAATCTGTATCTTTGCAATTTAGACAGATGGATGTTGGCCCATCAAATCTGTATCTTTGCAATTTAGACGGACGGATGTTGTGGGGGATTGTGTCAGAAGCCTTACAGAAGTCCAGATAGATGACATCTGTAGCTCTTCCCTTGCCTGCTGATGTAGTCACTCCATCACAGAAGGCCACTGGGTTGGTGAGGCGGGACCTTCCCTTGGTGAAGCCATCCTGAATCACCTCCTGGTCCTCCATGTGCCTTAGCATAGCTTCTGGGAAGATCTGTTCCACCATCTTCCCAGGCACAGATATGAGTCTGACAGGTCAGTAGTTCCCAGGGTCCTCCTTTCTACCCTTTTTAAACATGGGTGCAAAGTTTCCCTTTTTCCAGTCACTGGCAACTTCATCTGACTGCCACAACTTTTCAATTATCATGGAGAGTAGCTTGGCAACTGCAATGGCCAATTCTGTCAGGACTCTGGGATGCATCTTGTCAGGTCCCATAGACCTATGTATATAAATCCATAGACTTACTATGTATAATCCAGGGAGTGGGTGAATCCTAAAGAGTTGAGACGACCAATTTGTGAGCCAATCTCCTTCTTTCTTGAAGTAGAATGAAGTTCAAGACATAAGGTTCTGACTTGCAAGGACAGGTAGATTTTACTGCAGCAACTGAAACAATTGCCATCCTCAGCTCTTACCCACAGCTCAGCAAATAGCTCTTTCCCAAGAGCAGGGGCAGATGAAGAGATGTCTTTTTGCTCCACAGTTCATAGTACATAATTTGAGGCTGCTGGATACTGAGTCCATTTCATGACACTTTGCTGGTGTTTAAGCTGAAGAGTTGAAAAAAAATGACTGTGCAGCTTTGGGGATGAGGCAGCCTTGAGCTGAGAGATGGGGCAGACAGCTGAGAGTGGTAACAGCGTCACCCCAGTGGCAAAACCTGCCTGTGACAGTGAGTCAGTCTGGAAGTGGGTGGCTTTCTGAACTATTTGTACTTGGACAGGACTCTGGTCCACTGCTTCAAGCCACAGCTCCACTTTCACAGCTTCTGATACAAGGTTCTGGTTCTCAGTAAAGCCATGGCTCCCTCAGAAGGTGTCCTGTGTGTAGCGTGCAAAGGCACTGACCAATCTGAAAACCAGACCACAGTGCTGAGCCACTGCAGCTCTCCAGTAAAGCGTTAGGAACAAAGGGATGTCCTTTTCCAAACATTGGAGGTTGGGATTAAATGGAGGCTTCTGTAGGTGGATGAAACTCTGCCCAACACTGCAGACGTTGCACTTGCTTTCTCCCAAAGGCTGAGTGCTGCTCGCTTGCCCTTGGAAGGAGTATAATGAAACCTTCAAAAAGTAAAAATTGTTAAACCTCTCAAGATGACTGATTTTTATTAAAACAAGTGCAATGCTTTCAATTTAGGAGTGAATTAATGGCGAAAAAGTGGCTCAACATCAGCCTTACAAACTCCATGCATAACTTCAGAATGGCAGTGGTGAGTCACGGACTGTGAAGACGATGACATCTTGTTACAAAGAGCCAACTTCCCCTTTGTTTTCTCTTCTTATTTTTTTTCTTTTTTCTTTTTCTTTTTTTTTTTTCCCTTCCAGAGGGTATCTAGCTCACTGCAGCTCATGTGCTTGTATTTAAATATAGCCATACTCTTCGCATGCAGCTAGCCAAGCAAATGCCAGGCATGCTTTTCATGTTATTTTTACTGTGTCTGCCCAAGTATAATAACACAAACAAAACACATAAACCCACGCCAGAGATCAGATTCTGGGATCACTGATATTCTTTGGCCAAAATCATCAGTTTAAGTCAAATCACATTAATTTATAGCAACCCCATCTTATTATTGGGACCTATTATATGAAACCCAACTGTTTTCCTTTAAGGAAATTTTGTCATTAGTGAATGGGGATAGATTTGTTGCAAATTACTTGTTTGGATAGTGTCAAAAAGTAGTCACACTGCTTTTTTTGAGTCTCCATCATTTGATCTGACATGTGTAGAGTCCACAGAGGCAGGTCTTCAAGCTGAACACTTTGTTAGCAGGACTAACTTTTACCAGAGTCTTCCTATCTCAGCCTGATTTAGTACTGTGATCATGTCTCCCCTTAGTGGCTATCCCCTGGGATTAACAGCTTGCTGCTTACTCACCAGACAGTTAAAGGAGTTATTTTTAGCACAGGCAAGAGAGGACAGTGATTTGGGTGTGCGAGAACCTGTCTTAAACAGGAGCGTTCTGCACGGAGGGGATCTGCTGAGAGTCTGAGCAGAGCAGAAGGACATGTGGACAACACAAAATACACAGGAGGGGTCAAAGATAAGTCTACAACATCCATGAATGCTACTCCTCCCGAGCTCAAACTGAGCACTGCTGGATGGTGCTGACTGATTGGAATATCCTAGTAGCATGCCACAAGCAAACCTGACCCAGCCTGTGTCAAACAGGACAAGCAGGCTGCTGCTGCACTGCAGCGAGGGGAGCTGCTGGCTCGGGCTGGCTCTGGTGCTGCAGACAAGCAGCAGAGTGTCAACCCTCGTGTGAACCTCTCGTGCGAGGCTGCTGGGGAACCTACAGTTCCCTTTCCAAAGTGGAGGCAAACTTCTAGTCTGAATATTTAGGCAGTGCCACAGGCCCTGACTGGCACTTTGGCCTGTTGCGATAGATGTTGTATAAACATCTACGGTAAGCAGGTCCCAAAGCATAAACATAAATAATGGTTTAGGTTTTTTCTTATTATTCTTTTTTTTTTCTTTTTTTTTTTTCCAGCTCCTTTCCTTTCTCTTCCTTGAACAATGCTCTGATCACAGCAGTTCACAGGAAGCTGCTCGTAGGATGTGCCTAGGGAAGCCGGCTTGGGTGTGCCACTTAAGATCTTGCAGATATTAGACTTTGAATCATTTAGAGATAATTACTTTACATTTAGGGCATTTAGTGATTTCCCTCTCCACTTCCCCAGTGCCTGAAGAATTGGAAGAAAATGTGACTGTCTGACAAACACTTCCCACCTTTCCTTTCCCCTCCTCCTGAAATGAAAAGGATAATGTAGTGATGTGTGCCCGCAATCGAAGTCTTTTATGCTCACCAAATGCTGGGGAGAAAAATGAGTACAGTGGGAGGAAAAGCAGTCAGCACTGAAATGGTACTTTATTCTTTAAATAGCACTTGCTATCTAGAGAGCTCAAAGCATCTCACAAGTACTAATGAATATAGCTGCACTCACTATTCCTAGTTCCTACTGGGGTGAAACCACCACTCTAAAGTTTCACTGCAGCCCCTCTGTACTTCAAGGTGAAGTTTTGGATTTTGTTTTGTTTTGTTTTTAAATAGAGCTGATGTTTTAGGCCCCAGCCCTGAGACTGGCTGCAGAGGGTGGATCCAGGAGCCTGTAGTGGGGTTTGTGGATGCAGTAATGTACCCAACCTGTGCTGCGACAGCAGAGTGGGGGTCTTTCACAGGAGTTAAGTAGCAGGATGTCTCAGGGCCTACTTCTCCTCCCTGGTGGGTATGAGCTGTAATCAGAGGGAAGAATTAAAATAACCCTGCAAAGAACTAGAACTAGAGCAGAAAGATGATAACGACCAAGGTCTAGAAACAGAGTAGGCAGACTTAGCACAGAATTTAAAGATTTGAGGATGTAATGACTAGAATGTTAACACCATGTCACTCAGGTGTTTTCAGGGATTTGCAGTACAACATCTGAACCAAGTTCCTTGCTAGCCATGATCACCATCCCTTTTCCCAGCAGAGCAGTTACCCATTCTCTGCTGTACCATACAGATTCTAGGTCCTTTAGCAATGGGGGATCGGAGCTGCTGTTCCCTCTGTTTGCAGTAGTGTGCTTTTTATGCCTGCATAGGAACCCACAGCTGCTGCAAGAGTGCACAACCAGCAGAGTTACTTCCTTTCTCCGTCTCTCTCTCAGGTTTGTCTTCCTCTACTGTATTATCCATCAGTTCAAACTGCAGGTGCTCTGTAAGCTGGAGTTCCTAGAGGGATGCAGCCTACGTGCTTTTATGGGAGTAACTTTGGATTTCTCTGACAAGGGAAGAACACAACCAGAAAGCCTGAGCTGATGTTAGAAAGTAGAGACTTGACTGGCTGGATACATTTGAAGTGCAGCCTATTTCTGATGTGGGAACCACTTTAATATATTAAAAAGGAAGTGGCTTTCCAGCCACCCAGAGGGTATCACCATTCACAGTTCATAGAAGGAGGAAGCTGAGGACCCAAGTAGCTACTTTGCCAAAGGTAATAGAACAAGACAGCAGTAGACCCTGGGTTTGAGCTCCTGCTTGGGCTGGACTTTGTTCCAGAGCAGCCACACATTATTCTGGTCACAGCCTTTCATCTTCAAGCCATCCTATGGGCTGTTGTGCAATGTGATTTTTATGGGGGAGTTTAGGACCATCAAACTGCATGTCTCTGTGCAGCCATCGGGAAAAGTCAGTGTAGTAGATTTATCATCTCACTGAGTTAAACCATCTGGTCTGTGTTTGCTCTGAAGAGCTCATCACTGTAGTGCCAGGAGTTCTCGATTATCTCCATAATGGTAAATAGTGGAAGAATGCCTGCTGTTTTGTGATTAGTGTCATTTCCTAATGATTCGTTGGTCAGATTTCGGGTTAATCTAACCCTTTATTTATTTTCAGACAGGATCAATGTTGGATTCTTGGCAATGTTCCAAGCATCCTTCACAAGTGAAATACCATGTAGTATTTTTCTCTGAAGCACGGTTCTTCTAAATATGAATTATCACACAATAGAATGGGGAAAGGGCTGCAAAACATGGGAAGGAAATATGTGACCATAACTGAGACTAAATTTCTGTTCTAGATTCAGGGTGGGGGTATCTTCTGAAGGTCCTGCTTCATCTCCCTTTCACCCAACACAAAACTGGGTTTCAGCATAAAATCATCCTCGTCCAGTGCACCTGAGCTGCTTTGGATCTAGATGCAAACCACAACAGTGACATGTTGTCTCGATCTTGCTGAGGATACAGACCATCTCTTTTACAATTTTCACAGGGGCTTGGCCAGCTGATTCTGCTGATTATCAGACAGATAACCAAACTCCCTGGGGCGTACTGTGAACACTGCTGTAAAACTACTGAGGCAGCAAGATGTAGCTGTGTCACTCCACTGTTATAAATGTCTTCGAGGACTGTCAGTTCCTTTTTTTAAGGAGTTTCTGTGCAGTGGCTTTTTGGTGTGGATTGTGTCATCTGTGTTCCCTGTTACCCTTGATTAACCTTCAAAGCATCTTCCAACAGCTTCTCTGTAATTCTACCAGCAGGCAACTACCAGAGTCTTTACTTGTATTTCTCACTGTTACTGTTTTCAGTCCTGGCAGTTCCTGATTGTCCTTAGTTTGTTTTCTGTGTTCTTTTTTTAACCAGGAATGTCAGAGAGAGAGCGGCAAGTCATGAAGAAGCTGAAGGAAGTGGTAGATAAACAGAGGGATGAAATCAGAGCAAAGGACCGGGAACTCGGACTTAAAAATGAGGATGTAGAGGCTGTAAGTGGCTCTTAGTCTTCCTATTTCTCTTCTTTCTCACCAATACTTTCATAGCCTAGTTTTAGGTTAATGTAGAGTTTGTCAGCAATGCCAGATTATTCATCCAGGAACTGAAGTGTCCAGTGTAACTGTGGAGTGTCCAGAATGATTAGGCATTCCGTGTGTGTGTCCGTGCAGACACACACCCTCTGTGCACTCAGAAGAACCAGGCACACTTGGAATATGACTGGAAACCAGTGTAACAAGAGAGGAAAATGACGGAAGGACAGGTTGTTTTGTTTTTTTCCTTAAAGACCTGACACCTCTCCTCTTCCATGAGAACAGGACAGAGCAACTTTCTCTGGCTTCTTGAGTCTCTGCTTTGGCAGTGTGAGCTTCCTCAGCACCCCCATGCCTCACCCCACCCAGAGGTCCCCGCTGTAGGTGAGCGGGCTATGGTATATTTTATATATGATCTCTGCAGAGTTTGGCAGCAGGACACACTCCACGTGTGCCCTCCCACAGCAGGGATGCAGTGTGGATTACCCCTTGGCACAGGACAGGGGTAGGAGGAAGGGGCCTGAGCCCCACCCGGGTGACTTACCTTTGGTCACTGAGGGGATGGGTGGCCCTGGGCACCACAGCACAAGAGACCTGAGTTTAGTCTTAAATGAATCACACACTCCACTGTGACTTTGGGAATCACATGATGTCGTGGTTCTTTCTGTGTCAGAGGAATGACCTCCTTACCCATATTTTGCTTCCCATTCTCACGCTGCCTCATCTCCTTAGGCCATGGGACTTCTCTGGTGCTAGTGAGGGCCAGACCTAGATGATCTCTGCTCTGCCCAAGTGCCTCTGGTGGGTCTGTGGCTTTCAAATTGGTGCAGTCCATATAATGCCCACCAGGTCACATCCTGCCTTATGAAAGGGCCTAAGAGCTCAAAGCAAAGCACTTATATTATAAATTGAATAGTAAGGATTCCTCTGTCTTGTCTTTCTCTTTTCTACTCTGGCTTAAGATTTGATTCAGAATCCCATAAGCCACCCCGTCCTTGAAGTTTGCTTTTTTGAAGCATAGGATCAGTAGTGATCAATTTGCTTTTAGCTGGAGAATTCCCTGTGCTAGGGGAAAAATGCCTCTTTACTCTAGAAACCAATTAAATTTTTCTGACTGCATCTGTAGTAGATAATTAAATATTTTAAAAATCTAATCAGAGGGAGAGGAGGGGGGAGAATTTTCCAAATTAAATTCAACAGGTCCCCACTAGTTTTTCTTTAACATGGTGTTTGGGACTTGGCCACCATGGCTGGTGGCTGAACGGATGCTGACCCATTGCATCAATGTTTTACAGCTTCAGCAGCAACAGAACAGGTTAATGAAAATTAACCATGACCTGCGGCACCGGATCACCGTTGTTGAGGCTCAGGGGAAGGCACTGATCGAGCAGAAGGTGGAGTTAGAAGCATATCTGCAAACCAAGGAGCAGGAGATGGGCAACCTGCGAGCAGAGCTGGGCAAGCTGAAAGAAAAACTGCAGGGGGAGGACAGCCAAAATGGGGAGGAAGTAAAGGTAAGAGGCACTTTAAATCACTTTTTAAACAGCCTTTTAAAAAGCTTTGGACCTCATACCAAGTACCTCTTCTTCGGAGAAATGTGATTGATGCACATCAGAGACAATTGTGAGACCAGAGGACAGCATCTTGTGTCTGGATGTGACATACAGAGAGCAAAGTCACTCATTGCACTGTGACAGGAAAGGCCCCATTAGGGTGGATGATGACCCAGTGGAACAGATTTCTCCTTCCTAAAGAAGGAAACTGGTCACACAAGAAGCAGAGTGGCAGCACAGGTTGGCAGTGGGACATCTGCATTAGAGAACAGCTCTCCCCTTAGACTTGGCCACCCATCACGTGTCCTAGGACGTGTAACCTTTGGGTCGCGCACTAGGCTGCAGAATTCACCAGATATCAGAACAAATCACTGCTTCAAAAGAGAGTGTTCTGTTAAAAACATCATGAAGCAAGCCAAAATCTCTGGAGTATCAGCTGTCAGTTTGTACTGGAGGCAGATAGTGTTTTGGTAGTGTTGTATGAGTATGTTTGGCTTCGTTTTGCTTGTACACATCAACCCCTTCCCCCAGAGGAAAACAAACTGATTCCTTAAACAGTCTGGGATTTCCAAAAGATAAACAGCTGACAAGTAGCTTAAGCTTTGCCGAGTACGCAAATATGCAAGCCCTAATGTTTCCTGAAGGTGCAGTGCGTTATGATGGTGGTGGCATGTGAACCATCGTAGAAAAGAAAACGCATCGAAAGCGATCCCAGAGGCAACGCAGAACTCCCCATGCTTGGTCCTCACGATGCTCATGGCACTTTTGATCTGTCAGGGCTGAGCTGGTCTGTCGCTACCAACCAAACCAAGATATAAATATTTGAAGGCACCTTTTAGAGGAACTAACGTTGGCCTCATTTCTGCTTTTGCTTCCTATTAGAATTTGTGCAGTGAAGTGATACTAGCACAAATTCATGGAAAGCAAATGTTACTGCCTGCATACTCGGGTACCTGCAGGAACAGGCAAAGTGACAATCTGCAAATTGTGTTGGTGCTGAGATCAGAGCAGCAGGAATGCAAACGGGATGCGTCGGTAAGAGCTGCAGCACCAAGCAGGATTGTAACTGCCTGACAGGCTGCAGGGGAGAGCGAAACATCCAACTCACTTGTAGTGGGCAGGGATATACATCAAGAAGCAGAGGCAAAGGCTGATGAGGTGCCCTGGTCCCCCCGAATGTGACAACCAGTGCTGTGTTAACACGTCACTGCCGAATGGCGCAAGCACTGTGTTAATAATGAGGAGGATGATTTCATTGCTGTTAGTTCAGCCAGGACACCCCGCTCTGTAAATGGGGCTGTGGAGCCTAGGACTGGAGCCAGCAGGAGTGAAAGTGTCCTCAGTCTCTGGAGAGAAAGGATGCATTCTTCACCTCGCTCTAACTCATCAGTTCCATGGCAATGGTGCCTCTTCTAATGAGAGCCGTTCCCCGCTCTCTTTGCCAGGACGGTGGTTAGACAGGAATTGCAGTGGCAAGCAGAAAGTTGGAATAGCTGCATGCTCCAGAATGGACATTGCTTGTTGGCTTCAGTCAAGTACATTTGCATTGGCTACGGGCTGCTCAGTCTTTGCTGATTTGAGCAAAATTGAGCAAAACTAGCTTATTTGAGCAAAGGTGTGGGGCAAATATACGACCAAAAGAAGAGGCATCAGCTCAGGTCCTAATCTAAAAGAGCAGAAGTGTTTGGGTAATTTCCTTTGAAGCTCTTGTTAGGTTGCATCAATCTTTATTTATTGTAGTCTGTGTAGAGAAACGTGTTTGGATGAATGGGGTGAATCAAACAAGAGGACAATTGAACACAGCTCTGCTGCTTTGACTTTGCAGGACAAGGACTGCAACCCCTGCTGTAGAAATTGGTTTTACGTCAGCCTTAGCCCAGCCAAGTTTAACCCAAAATCATATAGCAAAGATGTTTCACAAACACATAAGCTTAAAAGGATTAGGCTTACAAAAAAGGGACTCTTAGCTCCTCAGATTTCCAGCTTGTATCCCAGTGAGGCATCACTGCAACACAGGAGCTCTGTAACTCTGATCTCTGCATCCTACTGGGAGGGCGGGTGGCTGACCTGGCTGCTGCCACCTCTGATTTCATGTGCGAGTTTCTAGTCAGTCCTTTGCAAAAAGCATCACATTTCAAACGTACTTTGCTGGAACAGAGTGCCCTGAATTCATTTCCAATGTTAGAAATCCTACAGACCTCTAAAGGCTTGTAGCTGCTCTTCAGCATCTCGATTCCGAGTACCCTTCCCAGAAGCCTGTGATTCCTCATTAGCTGGTCCTCAGCTCTGTGCAGCCACCGAGTGGAACAGCAGTAGAAGACCTCAATGGTGGTCTTCTGTCTGCTGTGCTTATACAGCCCACATTTTCACAAGCAGTTAGGGCCAAATAGTTCTGTGTGAGTGCTAGAGCCTGCCTGGGTGTCAGGAATTCCACAGACCTGGGAATCCAACCATGTGCCCAGACTGCAAGTTCTGGCTTGTTGGGAGCCACAGAAACTGGGGGGTGGGAGATAAAATTCCTCCCCGTTCCCAGTGAACTCTTCTCAGAGGAGAAGAAGAAACAAAGGTACACGGGTACAAATGCCTCATCTAGCTTTCATCTGCGACTTCTGTCCACCTTGTAGCTAGATCCTGGTGCCATCACCAATCCTGCTTTTTTAATAAAGGCATTAAGGGGATATAAAGTTAAATCTCCAGTTGATATGTTTACCTCCAAAGGAGCTTTCTCTTTGTGGGAAGAGCTGGAAGGAACTGACATGCTCTTTGCTATGCAGCTTTTCCAGTGTTTATATAAAAGCCTGATGTTTGATTTAGCCCACTTGTTAAAAGTATGAAATCCTTAAACTGACTTGTTTATCAAAAATTGGACTACACTTTTTCAGTGGACTTTCTGGCACTGTGGAATCCACTGGATTTTCTCTACAAGAAAGCTTCCCACCTATAAGGTGGCTCAGGTTGGATCCTGTGTTCAGGCCTGCTAGAAACAATTGGTGTTTGTTTGTTTGTTTTCCCAAACATGTAACTCTGTGAAAGATTCCTGTGAGCACAGGGCTTTGATGGTTGGTCACAACTCTTAGGTCCTCCTTTTCCCCTGAAGCCGAGGTGAAGAGAGGTAAAACAGAGCTCAGAACACCTTTCAGAAGCTTGCCATGGTCTCACCAGTCCTCTGTGTGTCATCAATCAGCCTGAGCACAGGGAAGAACAAAGTGGTCAGATCACTGAGTTGTTCTTGCTGACAGTCCTTAACATGAAAAACAAATTCCTTCTACCTTTTTTTCCTCTTAAAATTGTTGTGTTTCTCTTAAAAGAGGATTTAATAGAGCTGAAACGAAGAGGTTGGGAAGTAGACTGATAAGTACTTTAAGGTCCTCAGACGTGGCACTCGCATGGTGAATTTAAAGCCCACGTTTCTCTTCCTAGACAGAACCAAACAACGATGACTGCCTCTCGGAGTCAGAAAAGATGGCAATGGACTTGAAAGATCCGAATCGCCCAAGATTCACCTTGCAGGAGCTTCGGGATGTCCTTCATGAGAGGAATGAATTGAAATCTAAAGTGTTTTTACTTCAAGAGGAGCTTTTATATTACAAAAGGTAGGTTAGATCCCCTCTCCTGTTGCATGCTATACACAGAGGAGCCATGGGGCAGGTCTAGAAACAATAAATGTTCTCTTAAATCGTGTCCAACAAGCTTCCAATTCTGCAATGGCTTAAAGTAGAGACCGCAAGTATATGGCTTTAGTTTCAATCTGGTTCCTCAAAATTGGAAAAAAACTATGTCCTCCCCTAAGTCCTAGGTTCCTCCTGAATCTCAGAAAGATTACAAACATTTAGTGCTTTTGAACTTCAAAAATGAAGATAAGAGTGGGTCTAAAAAGAAAATTCTAGACCTTTTATTCAGTGCATTCCTATTCTCTCTCTCCTTGTTCCAATGGGAAGAAAATATTGAAGGGAGACCCAGTTCTAGGTGCTGTTCCCTTGGTTGATAGAAAAATCTCCTGTTGATTTCAATGAGCTTGGAACAGATCTTTTTGTATTTCTTCATCAACAGTACTGCTTCAGTTTGAATTTTAGAACTTTAAGCCCTTCCATGGCCTGGGAGGAGAATGTTAATTACCTTTTCTTTCTTTCAAGTGAGGAAATAGAAGAAGAAACTAGACCCCCTCAACCTACACCCATAATTCAGTCAAAACCCCCAACTCAGCCTGAATCTGGAATCAAACGACTGTAAGTAGATATTTTCTAAGGATACTGGATATAGTCTGCAAATACTAAATGTTTCTTATGGGTAGGACAATTTTAAAGAATTTAAAAATTAAGATAACCACATCCCTAATGTATCTGGGAGAAACATCGAGCACTTGACAGGTACCATGAAACAGCAGCTGGCTTTGGCCAAAACTTGTGCCGGGTTCTGGGTCAGCTTTCAGTCTGGGATTGCTTCCCATGGTACCTTTTGCATGGAGCCCAACAGTAGTCCATGGGCTTGTGTTTAAGGTCCAGATTGGTGTGCCCAAGAAGCCCACTCCAGTTCTGATGTTTCCTTCCTAAGTACACTATTCAGGTGAACCAAACCAGCAAGTGTTGCAATGTTGTATTCTAGCCAGTATGAGCTGGTGAGCTCTTAATCACACACACCTGATCTTCCTGGAGAATTTTCATGTCTGGGCCACGTAGTCTTACTCCAAAGGGTACCAATTGTGGTCTTGTTCAGAGCCCTGCTCAGCCTGTCCTGTGTGCCCAAAACTGAACTCGATGCCAGATCTCAGTGTGCCAGGATTGTAGGAACAATGGTCCTGTTCAAGTGCAAGTCCCAGTTCCTTAACACACACATCCTAAGGGGGGGGAGTGTCAGAAACCACTGGCCAGCAGGTCATGCTCAGAAGACGTGCAAAGAGTGTTGTTCACAAGTAAAACCAGCTGCAGAGCTGTAGCAGCTGGGTGTGGAGAGCAAGGTTTCCCCATGACCTCGCTGTGCCCGTTTCCCTGTTGACCTAAGCCTGTAGACCCCAACTTGCATTATGTGTTCAGCACAAAAACCTTGTGTTTGCTGAACAAATTCACTGCTGGAGAGGACAGCAGCTTTCTTGGCTATAAAGAACGTCACCTTCTTCAGGTGAAGTATTTAATGTCACTGTCCAAAACCTAACCTTACTGTCAGAGGTGTGCATTTACTAGTATATCACTTAATTACAAATCACAGTGTTAGCTAATCCATTTGCCTGTTCCAACTCCCTCCTTGTACATTTACTTATTCCACATTAAGTCTTGTAACCTTATAGCAAGTCTTTGGATTTTTGTGATACTGGGAGTTAAACTTTTTTAACTGCATAAATGACTTTGGAACAGTCTTTTTTTTTTCCACATAAAAAGCTCTTCCATCCCGTCCCTGTGTCCAAAACCTTTGGTCCTTGGTTAATAACAGCAGCAGCCCTGTGAGAGAAAGCTCCATTGGAAGGTCTGGACTGATCCAAAACACCATAAAGTCAGGAGGGCACTTTTGATTATTTTCAGTAGAGTCCAGCCTCTGTCTGTGCTGCTCTGTTTGCTGAGAGAACCCTTCCTCTTACGTCACTGGAAAAGACACTTGGAGATTGGACTTAAGTTTTCATTCTGCAACTGCAACGATAATAATAATACTTGGTCTCACAAGATCACCACCGTAAAGCCACTCTTTTCTTTTAAATTTATTTTAGTACTTTTTACAGCTCATCCTGTTGTTGGGGAGGTGGCTGGTTTCAGCTTACGCAGTTGTGTTGATTGCAGTTTCCATGCTTGATTTATGAAACTAAGGCAGCATAAAAATGTAAATAGACATTGTAAGATGGAGCAAATGCTGACGAGGTATTAACTTTGACTCTGCCTTCTGCACACATGCCTGAGCAACGCCTGGAGACGTGGCAGGAGGCACAGGAGTGTTTTCAACCTGTTACCTCAGTGCTTTCCTCCTCTCAGTTAATTAATGAAAACCCGTTGAGCATCAGACCATTCAATCAATGCACATTTTCAGACACCTGTCTAACCTTTCTGTTTCTCAGATTCTGTGTTAAATTCATATAACTAAAACCACACACAGTAAAACATAAAATCGTGTTGTTTTGGTCCCTTTCAGAAGAGGCAAGAGTCCTCTTCTGCTGGCCAATGGAAGCACGTATTGAACCTGCTGTTAAGATGAAATTACTTTCTTTACCTGTCCTGCTCTGTTCCCAGGTGTCTTTCTGCTCTCTCTTCATTTAGCCATCATATTAAATAAGGGAAGACAAAACCATTTACTTAAGTAACCTGAAGGATGGTAATAGTTTTTGGGTTTATCTTATTCTTGCAGCCTGTTTGGGTAGGATTTGTCTAGTGTGGGTTTTTCTTTTCCCTCTCCTCTCTGTGTGTGCTGTCGACAGTGTACTTGTAGATGGCCTTTAAAAACACAGGAAATATCACTGCTGGGAAAAACAAAGAACCCAAGAGCAGCATCTGTTCTATCACACCCCCCCTGCAGCCCCTGCCTGCTGTGAGCTGTCTCCAGAGCTCCCTATAGGCTCCAGCACCTCCCTATAGAGCTGCCTGGGTAACACACTGGCACATAAACTCTCCAAACCAAAGATATGATGAAATCTTGTAATGCTGATATCTGCGTGCAGAGTGCCTTTACAAATGAAAGTAGGATTGCTTTTCCCTCCGTTTCAGACTTTTCCTCCTGACTAAACAAAAAGCTGAAGTACAAAAATAGGAGAGACTGTTGCTGTCCTCTCAAGAGAAGTTTCATGCTTACCTGTGGAATGTGCCCTTTTTTCCCTGACCACGCTGTATCTCAGCAAATGAGACACGTGTATATGTAGCCTGTGCCATCTAAGATGTGCTCAAGTGATGCTGGGCTGCCTCCCCGTACAGAAAGGAAAACAGAAGCTAGAAAAATCTACATTTTTTTCACTCCCAGGGTTTGCATGTTTGGAGCAAACTCTGAGTTCTGATCTCAGACTGATTGATTTCTACATTTGTCTCTACCACATCACATGTCAGAGTTTTGATGAAATAACGTAACCAGGAGGCTTTACTGAGGAGGAAAAGTACAAGGATTAAAAATGCTCCCTCTGTTTCGAGCAGCAAACGCCCTTTTGTTTTCTCTTTAAGGATACGTGTTTGTTTGTCACTGATGTAATGCCTGAAACAGCCATAAGTTTTCTTCCTATTCTTGCAGTCTACAAAAGCTGATGTGTGTCTCATTTGTGCAGCAAACGGACTGTGCCACAAGGCCTAAAAATAGCAGTTCTAGCTGCTTTTAATGATACAACAATGTTTGCTTGTTTGTTTTCAATTTGAATCTAAGAATAGGAGTTAGAGTGACCGCGTTGGGGGGAGCTGCGTTTGGTCACAAGTGAAATGTGTCTCATGATTTCAACTTAATCTTTAATTGACATTAGTCCACAGTTCAAAAAATTATTTGGCACAAGGGAGAACCTCTGAGGAGAACCCTTAGAAAAACAGAGGGTGTTCCAGGTACGGCGGAAGGTGTGTTGGGAGGTTGGTGTGGGGCTGGCTGGGCATAGAGCACCGGGCCAGCGCGCTCTTTCTCTCTCAACCCCTAAGTTGCATGAGTTGTATCATGATGTGTAGTAAAACTCTTACAAAGAGCCAGTCTTGCTGCTGGCTGGCTGGAAAGCGTTGCTGCCAGAGTAGTTGTGAGGTTTCAAATAAGTGTTTACTGCCTGCAGTTGGCATCTTTCTGCATGTGAAGTGCTGCAGGTTCCTTTGGAACAGATACACAGGCCCTTTAACCAAGTAGCTTGCGTAGGAGGTTATTTCAAGATTCCCCCTGCCATACTGGTTTTTAACTTGAAACTATTAGCTGTAACATTGGTAAAATCTTTAATGGTAATGCTGGTCCTGTCTAACCCTAGGATTCCCCGGGACCCGGCTGTGCCCGTTTCCCTGTTGACCTAATTCTGTACGCCCCAACTTGCATTATGTTTTCAGCACAAAAACCTTGTGTTTGCTGAACAAATTCACTGCTGGAGAGGACAGCAGCTTTCTTGGCTATAAAGAACGTCACCTTCTTCAGGTGAAGTATTTAATGTCACTGTCCAAAACCTAACCTTACTGTCAGAGGTGTGCATTTACTAGTATATCACTTAATTACAAATCACAGTGTTAGCTAATCCATTTGCCTGTTCCAACTCCCTCCTTGTACATTTACTTATTCCACATTAAGTCTTGTAACCTTATAGCAAGTCTTTGGATTTTTGTGATACTGGGAGTTAAACTTTTTTAACTGCATAAATGACTTTGGAACAGTCTTTTTTTTTTCCACATAAAAAGCTCTTCCATCCCGTCCCTGTGTCCAAAACCTTTGGTCCTTGGTTAATAACAGCAGCAGCCCTGTGAGAGAAAGCTCCACTGGAAGGTCTGGACTGATCCAAAACACCATGAAGTCAGGAGGGCACTTTTGATTATTTTCAGTAGAGTCCAGCCTCTGTCTGTGCTGCTCTGTTTGCTGAGAGAACCCTTCCTCTTACGTCACTGGAAAAGACACTTGGAGATTGGACTTAAGTTTTCATTCTGCAACTGCAACGATAATAATAATACTTGGCCTCACAAGATCACCACCATAAAGCCACTCTTTTCTTTTCAATTTATTTTAGTACTTTTTAAAGCTCATCCTGTTGTTGGGGAGGTGGCTGGTTTCAGCTTACGCAGTTGTGTTGATTGCAGTTTCCATGCTTGATTTATGAAACTAAGGCAGCATAAAAATGTAAATAGACATTGTAAGATGGAGCAAATGCTGACGAGGTATTAACTTTGACTCTGCCTTCTGCACACATGCCTGAGCAACGCCTGGAGACGTGGCAGGAGGCACAGGAGTGTTTTCAACCTGTTACCTCAGTGCTTTCCTCCTCTCAGTTAATTAATGAAAACCCGTTGAGCATCAGACCATTCAATCAATGCACATTTTCAGACACCTGTCTAACCTTTCTGTTTCTCAGATTCTGTGTTAAATTCATATAACTAAAACCACACACAGTAAAACATAAAATCGTGTTGTTTTGGTCCCTTTCAGAAGAGGCAAGAGTCCTCTTCTGCTGGCCAATGGAAGCACGTATTGAACCTGCTGTTAAGATGAAATTACTTTCTTTACCTGTCCTGCTCTGTTCCCAGGTGTCTTTCTGCTCTCTCTTCATTTAGCCATCATATTAAATAAGGGAAGACAAAACCATTTACTTAAGTAACCTGAAGGATGGTAATAGTTTTTGGGTTTATCTTATTCTTGCAGCCTGTTTGGGTAGGATTTGTCTAGTGTGGGTTTTTCTTTTCCCTCTCCTCTCTGTGTGTGCTGTCGACAGTGTACTTGTAGATGGCCTTTAAAAACACAGGAAATATCACTGCTGGGAAAAACAAAGAACCCAAGAGCAGCATCTGTTCTATCACACCCCCCCTGCAGCCCCTGCCTGCTGTGAGCTGTCTCCAGAGCTCCCTATAGGCTCCAGCACCTCCCTATAGAGCTGCCTGGGTAACACACTGGCACATAAACTCTCCAAACCAAAGATATGATGAAATCTTGTAATGCTGATATCTGCGTGCAGAGTGCCTTTACAAATGAAAGTAGGATTGCTTTTCCCTCCGTTTCAGACTTTTCCTCCTGACTAAACAAAAAGCTGAAGTACAAAAATAGGAGAGACTGTTGCTGTCCTCTCAAGAGAAGTTTCATGCTTACCTGTGGAATGTGCCCTTTTTTCCCTGACCACGCTGTATCTCAGCAAATGAGACACGTGTATATGTAGCCTGTGCCATCTAAGATGTGCTCAAGTGATGCTGGGCTGCCTCCCCGTACAGAAAGGAAAACAGAAGCTAGAAAAATCTACATTTTTTTCACTCCCAGGGTTTGCATGTTTGGAGCAAACTCTGAGTTCTGATCTCAGACTGATTGATTTCTACATTTGTCTCTACCACATCACATGTCAGAGTTTTGATGAAATAACGTAACCAGGAGGCTTTACTGAGGAGGAAAAGTACAAGGATTAAAAATGCTCCCTCTGTTTCGAGCAGCAAACGCCCTTTTGTTTTCTCTTTAAGGATACGTGTTTGTTTGTCACTGATGTAATGCCTGAAACAGCCATAAGTTTTCTTCCTATTCTTGCAGTCTACAAAAGCTGATGTGTGTCTCATTTGTGCAGCAAACGGACTGTGCCACAAGGCCTAAAAATAGCAGTTCTAGCTGCTTTTAATGATACAACAATGTTTGCTTGTTTGTTTTCAATTTGAATCTAAGAATAGGAGTTAGAGTGACCGCGTTGGGGGGAGCTGCGTTTGGTCACAAGTGAAATGTGTCTCATGATTTCAACTTAATCTTTAATTGACATTAGTCCACAGTTCAAAAAATTATTTGGCACAAGGGAGAACCTCTGAGGAGAACCCTTAGAAAAACAGAGGGTGTTCCAGGTACGGCGGAAGGTGTGTTGGGAGGTTGGTGTGGGGCTGGCTGGGCATAGAGCACCGGGCCAGCGCGCTCTTTCTCTCTCAACCCCTAAGTTGCATGAGTTGTATCATGATGTGTAGTAAAACTCTTACAAAGAGCCAGTCTTGCTGCTGGCTGGCTGGAAAGCGTTGCTGCCAGAGTAGTTGTGAGGTTTCAAATAAGTGTTTACTGCCTGCAGTTGGCATCTTTCTGCATGTGAAGTGCTGCAGGTTCCTTTGGAACAGATACACAGGCCCTTTAACCAAGTAGCTTGCGTAGGAGGTTATTTCAAGATTCCCCCTGCCATACTGGTTTTTAACTTGAAACTATTAGCTGTAACATTGGTAAAATCTTTAATGGTAATGCTGGTCCTGTCTAACCCTGTTTCCCCTGCAAAAATCCAGTAGTCACAGCAGAGTTTTGTATTTCTTAACATACACCTTCATCCTTCATTTCATGATGTATGTGCCTGTTTGTCTCTTGGAAGAACGGTGTGCACTCTGCTCTGCATTGCTACAGGTGGTAATACCTTGATGAAATCCAACCCAGATTGCAGGCTGCCTCACACCAGAAAAGTGGTATCTTTTAGAAATTCAAAAGCAATTTAAACTGTTTCAATGACTTCAATAAGTTTTTCACTGAGGAGAACTGTCTTGGGTGATGCAGATCCACCTCTCCCTGTAACGTGTCCTGTGTGGTAATCCAAAGTAACCCCGTGTATCATGTTTGCCTCTTTTCTTTTTAATGGAATGCTTTTTCTTTCCCTTACTCCAGTCTTATCTCTTCTGTGTCTGTACTTTCCTGACCAGGATCTTTACAGCCATAATGCCCATGGTAGCAGCTGGATTGATTCCAGACGATCCCACATTGCAGCCAATAAGAAGACTTGTGTCCCTTGTAGGATTTATTTTTTTTTTTTACATGTTTGGTACCGTGGTTTCCTTTTGCATGACCCTGTGTTAACATGCACTGCTGGTTACATTCTCATCGGCTGCCTGTGGGATCACAGAAGGACAAAGTGCCAATCAGAATGACCAGTCAGTACACACCTCATCGTAGTCCTCCATGCTCATCCCTCCAGTATTGACATTTTGTCACCTTTTGCCTTAACGTTACCGTGCTAAACCAATCATTACTCCTTTAGAAAATTGCCACAATGTGCAATTTTAACCAGCATCTGTTAATTTTGCTTACTAAGCCTGCCTATTTACAATTCACACCAATGCTTTTTCAGAAACCCATGCCATTCTAATGACTTGTTACAAATTAGTTAGTTAGATTTACAGAATGTAATGGCTGATATTTACATTAATCTCCAGTGTTAATTATAGGCTGTTGCTTCAATGCCTTTCTATCTATACACTCTATTTTGTCTTTAATTATGTATTTTGGAATAGAGTATACGCTCTCAATAATCAATTCTGTCATCCTTTTCTTGGCTGTCCCTGAAGACATGTGGATAGTTGTTAATGCAAAGTCTCTTTGCATTACAACTGCTGCTTTAGTGATCTTTGTAGTTACAGTAGCAACACAGTATTTAAATGCCCTTCCTCTCCACACAGACGTGCTTTCTCCAGACATCCTCCAGGAGAGTTTTCTAGGCATAATAACAATTTTCATTGCTTCAGAAGGAATTAAAAAAGCCTAACCCTTCTACTTCATGTAGAGATTTTACAAACATATTTTTCTCTTACTTAATTTCATGGTAAAGTGAAAAATTACTGAACTTTGATGTGTGAAACTTACTGCATAAATACAGCAGTCCTTTGTGTGGACTTCAAGATACCAAGCCTGATCAGGCAGGACCAAATGTGCTCAGCAGAAAGCCTAGGTGATTAGACACTTCTTTTATCAGCCATAATCGGATCTGGCCCTGAAAAGACATAGCATATGTGTGTGAATGTATGAGCTCCTGTGATGAAGGTGGTAGAAAAGTGTGAGGCTAATGAAGTGCAAAAGACTTATTTCACTATTAAGGCTGCACATTTGAAGCCAGGAAATGCAAAAGTTCAGGTCCTGCTAGCAACGTTAGTTATCTGGCATTGCACTCGAGTAGCTTTGATTTTATCACTTTTTAGTCAAGAAATAATTATTCTTAATATTCTTAGTAATTACCATCATGCTTACCTGCACGTATGATAGGATATTTTTTCAGGAAAGCTGCCTTAAACCTCATCTGACACTCAGATACAGCCTCCTGTGTGACTAGAGACACCGAAGGCAGAGCTCCCTGGTCTGCACAAGGCGGCTTGGACGGTTGGGATCATGGTACTGGGGGGACAGGAGGGAGTGTGGGTGGAGGACGAACACCGAGGACGGTGGGGTATGGACACAGGGTCAGGCTTCTGCCCTGGCAAATACTCCATCACCTGCCAAAGCTGAGTTTATATTTGCTTAGTCTCATACTATAGAAGCATTTAGCCCTTCCTGCCCTGAATCAGAACTGCGTTGTACTCAGTACTACGCAAGAAAAACAGTATTTACCTCCTAAAGCGCGCCATTAAACCCCAAAGGGTGTGCAGCCAATTCAGATCTTTGGTAGCTGGAACCACAACTTTTGCATTTCTCAGCAGCCCCAAACGCTGCACTAACACCTCTTGTACTGAACTCATGACGAACACGGAATTTGCCTAATCAAGTAACTTCATCCTGTACAAATAAGAAGATACTAAGGATTTTTCCAACTGTATTTTTTGAGCTCCGTTGTCAGCTGGCAATTTGTTGTTGTATTAAATGGCTGTTGGTTCATGTACGTCATTATCTTAGAGCACCCAAGCCGTGTGACAGGAAATGACGTGCACACTTGTGTGCATTCGCTTAGAGCCTTCATCCTGCAAACTCTCGTGCACCTACGTGCATTTATTCATTTATTTTTGCAGGAATTGAGTCTATGTACCCAAATCTGTACACTTGATAAAAATGTGGAGGCTCGTTTTCTTATCTGATGAATTTCCCTGCTGACATCCTTAAAAACATTCTCTATTTCTGCTTGATGGTGAATTATACAGATTTAATGCCAAAGATACCACTTTACTTATGCCAAGAAACTAACCCCTATTGTGTCGCTTCTTTATCTCAGGGCTGGGGAAGGAGGGAATAAGCATCTAAAATGATACCTGCACCTTGGGGAGTCAACAGCATTTAGAGCTTATTTGAAGCTTCCATAGCCAAACCGCTTGAGATTGCAATGACTTCATCTCTAATAACATTTTGACACGCACTCCCATCAGGCTTCACTGCCTTGATTTTTGCAGATGCAAACGGATTTTTTTGCTCGGTGTTTTGTTGTGCTGTGTATCGCGTCGGGTGTTTGAAATATTTTCAGAAGATGGTAAACGGTTCTTCTTTCTTTTCCCTCCCCTCCCGGAAGGTTTAGTTTCTTCTCTCGTGATAAGAAACGTATGCAGGCGTCACAGAAAAATGTCCACTTCCAGGACACTTTTGGAGAATGGTCAAATTCACATAAAGATGACTCCTACACCGAACAAGGACAAGAAGCCCTGCAGCACCTGTGACTAAAAGCTTGAGGTGTTCAGTTTACTGCAGTAGATCTCGACAGTCTAGTAACAAGAAGCTTCTGTAAAACAAATCCGGTGGCTCCTCACTTCTGTTTGCCTTGCACACCTCAGTGGCTGTGTCTCAGATGTACTCTTCAAAAGGGAGCCCTCACCGTTTTTCTTGGTGACTGTTTGCTGAAAACAGAATCCAAGCTCTGTAGTAACAGTCGCTGATCCCCTGGGACATCGAAGCTTCTAGATGACTTGTTTCGTGCTGAATAACAAGTCCATGGTCTTGTTCATGCATTAACTACAGTAACACAAGCTTCTTTAAACCAAAAAAAACAAGGACCTGTGCCGTTATTAGGAGTTTGTTTGCAGTGTACAATATCTAGTGGCAAAGACTCTTTTACCCTGTTTGTTAACACTATCGGTTGTTTGCTTTTTATTTCTGTAAGAGTTTTTTTCAAGAGGGATGCGACAGCAGCCGCTCTCCGTGGCGGGTCTTAGCACTGCTGTGTCCTGTCCAGCTCAGCTGGTGTCTGCGTTTTGCAGAGGAACCGCTTGGAAGTCCACCTGATACAAACTGATGAACTGGAGTAGCCTTGAGAGGGATAGTGAGTGTACGTTTCCCTTCCTGCTTATAGTGCCTAAAGCATGAAGAAACCCACGTATGAGGTGAGCGTGCCTTGCATTTTGCCATGAGTTCTGCAGTATTAATGGAAAGCAAGTTGCTTACAAGGAGGAATTCTAACACTTGAATTTTGTCCTTCTTACCAGGGACTTCCCCCTAGAGCAGCAGACACCTGCTGGAAAGGAATTAGGTCTCTTTCCCACAGACAGGTTTTTAAGTCACACTCCACTTTTCTGTCCAGATAAGGCTGCCTGACTTCAGAGTGAGACACATCCTCAACGAGCTGACATACGCTATTTCAACTGACTCAGAGAAGAGGTTTTCTCTGACCAGTCCAGACACTACTTGGGCAGAGCAAATGAATCCTCTATGTGCAGGCTGCTCCCCTGGTTGATGTCTGGGGGGCAGCAGTTACAGGGGCTTCACTTGGCAGCAAAAGCCACTAAACTCCAACTGCCCCAGGTCCTGAACGTAGGAGGAAGCCTCGAAGGGCTCCGGGGTGAGAGCGAGCCAGAGGGTTTAGTGCTGGCCAGTTGGCTTTGGCTTTAATACAGGGTGAGCCAAGACTGTGGAATCTTGGATGTGTATGGGCAGCAAATGGCCCATCTAGAATGAAACTGCCAGGGAACTGGTTTTGCAGTGATGGGCTGGATGGGGCTCTGCTCCCCACTGTAACTGTGCTGTGTTTTGGACACGGACCCTCCACGTCCTCTAGGCAGAGAAAGTGTTTACTGTGCCTCCCTGGTGTCACTGCAGTTGGGGGCAGGGGGGAAGTGGCCTTATCTGAAAGACATCTGCATTTGAAATAGTGACGGTAGCGTCTGATGCTAGTATTAGGCAGATATGCTTTTGCCTGGTTACATTTTGGTAACATATTTTTAAGTTTTATGCTTACAGAAAGCCGTATCCCTTAAACAGCAGCACTTCCCCCCCTTGCCTGAAAAGCAACTCTTAAATGGGGGGGGAGTGTCTTCATTTAATGATACTTTAGTTGCTGAGATCTCAGTTTCATTTCCACATTAGAAAAAAAAAAAAGTACACTACAGTTGTGTCAGGCAGTGGAAGTAAATTGTGAATGATGCCCGTGGAGTCTCTCCTTAGCAGAGCTTACAGTCGGTCGGCACATTTAGAAGAGACGCAGTGATCAGAAACAATACAAGAATGCAGCAGTGCATGGCCTGAATAAGCACATCACTTTTGAAATCAGCTGAGAGCAATGAGCTGGGATAATGGAATCACACAGAGCGAGCTGTTTCCCAGCACCTAACTGGTCTATCACAAAGGACATCTCCTGGCCTGGTGCACGTAAAGCTCGTCCCGCCGGAGGCCAGGGCACCATTGTCGGATGAAATCTGCAGCCAGTTCCAACAATGGCACTAAGCAGCACAGCCTTCCCCCACTCATCTCTGTAGCCCATTACCTCAAAAATCTAATTAGTTACTCCTGACCTGCTAAGCATTAACCACTTCGCTCCTCATCCTCGCGCTAGAAATGCTGAGTTGAACCACTCCAAGTGCCATCGGAAGGGATGGTGTGTAGGGAAGGGTATGTAAAGGGTTGAAGACCTGTCACGTGTTGTTTCTCAATATTCAAGTAGAATCTGCTTTTAGCAGAGGGGCCAGGATGTTGTCAGGTAAGGGCCAGAACAATCCTGCCTGCAAAGTGCAGGATCACTGACGGGTTTTTTGGGTTGTTTTCTTTTTTTCTTTTTTTTTTTTTTTTTTGTTTTGGCGGTAAATTAT